ATGTAAACTGCACAAAGCAATGAGCTATGTTTCAGTGAACAGGAAAATTTAAACTTTTCCCATGAAACCAATCTCTGATTGTTGCTGGTTTATGTAGCAGAGACCTCATTTGATTGCATAGGAATATGCCCATGCATATGTAGCTGTTTTTTAGTTTTTATAATCTTTATTTGGACTACACCAGCTCTGGGGATATAAAGTTCTAAATGTCTTGGAAAATATCCTGAATCTGTTATTAAGTGGTAGCGTGTTTGCATAACACAACAGTTAGAGCTCTGAGTGCAGTTACTTTTCCATAAACTTAATTATTTTTTAATGTTTACATATTATATAGAAGGTGGGAACTCTAATTACACTTGCTGCTAATAGTAATTACACAACGTAATTGTAACATTTACATAATTAATGGATGAGGTATTAGTATGATCCATGGTGATGTGGCAGCTTTGAGCAGCAGTCAAAAAAACAAAGATCCCTAAGTGTTATTCTTCAAAAACATCGGAAGTGCCTCTAAAAAAAGCAAGTTCCTGTTAAACGATGCAAACGTAATTTACTACTGACTGTAAGCATCATGTGATGCTCAACGTTTTTAATTATTTTTTACATGTTGACGCCATTTTAATTAATAAACAATTTCTGGTCGGACCGTCCTCGTCTGTCACTGTTTGGCGCTGCAAGCGTCCCTTTGCCGGGGCGCAGAGAAGGAAGGGGCCGCGGGCGGGACCCAAGGCATCCCTTCGCGCCGCGCACCTCGGCGGGGCGGGGCGGGGCGGGGCGGCTCGCCGGGACTGCATTTCCCAGGGAGCCGCGGCGCGGGGCTGGCCCGGGAGCGCAGCCCGGAGCCGTTTAGTCTGTTTGGCCGTGGGCGACGTGGCCATGGGGCGCTTCGCAGGGCTCCGGCTCGATCCGGCCGCCTCCCTCCTCTTGTTCCTGGCCCTGCTGCGCTGCGCCGCCGCCTTCGTGCTGCGGGAGCGCTCGGCGGAGCGCAACGACAAACCCATCATCGGTAAGGGCGGCCGCTCCCCGGGCATCCCCGGCCGCGCCGGGCTGCATTGCAGCCGCCTCGGCGGTGCCGGGGGAGGGAAGCGCTGCCGGTTTCTGGGTGGAGTGAAATGTCTCCCCGAGCGTAGGTTTGGTTGGAGCTGTTGCAAGGAGCGTTAACGCTGTATATACGTGCTTTCTCTAAAAAAAAAAAAAAAATCGTAAAACAACGATGGGCTATTTAAGATGCTATGGTGCTAAGCGGGGAAGCCGAGTCTTCGTCAGGTTATCTGTGTTATGCGGTACCTTGTGAAGGGGCACCGTAGTTGATGCCCCGTTGTCTCCGTGCCTGTAATTCCTCCGGGCGCTGCAACCTGACAAATCGGAAATGG